TTCATTTAATAACCTGTTTATATTTCTAAGCAATCAGTGATTTTTCTCATTTTTAGATGTGTGATAATAGTGTGGATTCACCATTTTCCAGTTTTGCACTTTTGTGTCTTTGCTTTTAACTAGCAGTGTCATTGAGTATCCTTGTACATATGTCTGGCACCAGCAATTTTTATTATTTTTTAAATTCACATCCTTCTCAGCTGCCTCATATTTTTAATACAGAATTGTGAAATAAATCTATATAGTGTGACTTAATTTGTATAAATTAGCTATACCCATACAAACACAATAAGTATGTGTATAACAAGTTTTCTGGAAGGGTATATAAAATATAATTAACTGTAATTATCTTTGGATAGAGGGACCTAATAACAGAAGCAGAAGGCAGTGGACACTTATTGCTTGTACATAAGTCTCTGTATGGCTTGAACTTTTAATTATTTGCTTATATTGTGATTTTGAAAGAAGTATGGTCTTCCAGAAGAAGCTATGTGCTTTTTTTAATGAAAAAGTAAATTGTTAATGTGGCATTTGCTACTTTTTAAAACACTTCCTAGAAAATTTTAAAAAGAGGTTAAAAACTCATTGAACTCTTATTTAGGTGAACATCAAAGAATTTAGTAGATGAGTTGTATTACAAGGATATTATCACTCTTATTTCTATAAAAATGTGCTTTAAGTAAAATTTATAAAACAAAATAATAGAACATGTTAAATATGAGTTAGTGTTATATTAAAAGCAGAGCTTTTCTCATCCTCTTTCTCATATTAAGTTTGTCAAAAATTCTTTCTAACTCTTAGAACATGAGTTTTTTGTCACTGGACATGCTGTGTTCAGCTCCTAAATTTCCCCATCTCATGTGACATACCTTTTTTTGGTTACCATAACCTTGATAATATTGGGGTGTCCTCCCGATGAATAATTCTTATTCCCACACTTTCTCTCCTTGAATTTCTATGTAATATATATGACTTCCTCACCAAGAACACAGTCTTTAAGCGTATATTATCTTTATAATAAATGTGATTATGTTTCTTTAAGGATTTAGCTCACAGGCTCTTCATTTGTATTTTTTGTCTGTACTTCTGAATTTCTGAATTTGCCTTCATAGGAATTATTTTTACTTTGAGGGCAAATGTACATCCTAGTCCTTATCTAGTAAATTGATATACATCCTTAGAATTTCTTGGGTATGACCCATATTTGCGGGGTGCTCATATTTTGGTACCTCTAAACTGGAAGATGTTTCTGTAGTTGAAATTCATGGTTTTCACTACTCCAGTGCTTGTGTTCTGAGATGCTCCTGGAAAGGCAGTAGTACAGTGTATATAATGATGAACCCACAAGAAAGCCTGACCAAAGTGATGGCAGAGTTGATGTCCTTCTATCAACTTTACAGATTGCACTTTTCATGAGAATTTGTTTTAAAAAGGAAAGAGTAAGTGCTACTGCTAAAACAGAAGTTTTAATAAATATGCTGGCTGACCATGGCCTTTCTATCTGAACACTTTTCCTGCATGTAGTACCTACTAGCTATTATAAGATAATTTTATTGCATCACCTAATCACCTTCTTGACCTTTAATTGAGTTTTCATAGATTATGACTAAAAATTAACTGTTAATTTCATTTATTGCTAACAGAAGAAAGCAAGGAGTTGGGTTTGGATTACTCAGATTTAGGTTTGAATTGTTAATTTGCCACATATTAGTTTATGTGTCTTGAGTAACCTGATTTATTCTCTCAACTTTAACAAAGGCTAATGTGAGAAATAAATGAGATACCATAATACAGCACCAAAATATAGTTTTAATAAATGGTATCTAGCAACAGAAAGGATAGTAGTATAAGTGATGATTTTTAGCACAGATTTTTTTAAGAACAATTGATGTTGGGAACCGCTGTGCCTGGTTTCAGGAGTTGTAACTGCCCCCCATGGATAAGGCTGAGTGAGCTACCTTTGGACTGTGAGCCACTAAGGAGACAAAGCTTATCTCCCTGGCAGCAGCACTGCTTCTGCTCCATCCATCTGTGGTCCCCAGTGCTTAGTCACTTAGTCACTTAGTAAATGACAGGTAAGACCCCTCAGAGCAGGAGGCAACCTGAGCCAGACACAGTCACTTGGGAGGCCCTCAAGGAAGGACTCGGGGGCTGCAGCAAAGAGTGGGTGATGGACCCTCACCCCCTGGCTCTTCTGACATAGCCTGAGTCCCCATTTCCATCTGGGAGAAGCGATTTCTGGCTCTAATCCACTTAAGCCTAAAAACCTACTATGGGGAAGGCAGTGCATCCCTTTGCCAGCTAAAGTGGGATCTGGGGTGATCAGGCATAAGAAAGAATTTGTAAAGTCCTGTGAAGCCTGCTTTGCTAAGAGTGCTTTCATTCATATGATAAGGGTCTGAGCAGAAAATGAGTATGTCTCCCAGAGTTTTTGCGACCCTCTTACTTGGTAGACACTGACTCAGATTAAGCCCTCAGATTTCTTTCAAATGTAATCTGTTGTTTGATCCTTGCCGCCTGACATTGATTGATGAGCTTTACCTGTATTCCTGTGTATTATGACCCTAATAAAAGCTGTTGAGGAAGAGGCTCTTGGTCCTTCTCCTTTGAGAGATTGATCACCTCTTCTCCCCAAGCAGATCGTATCTTGGTAATTTTATTTTCATTTGTGGCGTATGGGGGGACTTGTGCACAAAGTTTTCCCCACAAATTATGGCTTCTGGTTTTGTATTGTTTGCTAGAAAAAGTAATTTCTATAATTTATTCAAAATTTGTACATGAGGTATCCCTCTTGCCATAATGAAAAAATTAGTAAATAACAATATGATATTTTTTAAATCATGAATACATTTACATGAGCCATTATAAACGAAATGAAAATCAAATGATATAATTATTTGATTAAATGATATCTTAATGAAAGAAAGTTTTGGTTTTGGGTTTTTTCTTTATAGATTTTATTTATTTATTTTTAGAGAGAGGGGAAGAGAGAGAGAATGAGAGGGAGAGAAACATCCGTGTGCAAGAGAAACTTCAGTCAGTTGTCTCTCATACACTTCTGACTGGGGACCTGGGGTCCAGGCATGTGCCCTGACCAGGAATCGAACCAGCAACCTTTCAATTTGCAGAACTACACTGAACCTGCTGTGTCATACCAGTCAGGACTAATAAAAAAAATTTTTTAATTGGAATTGCTCTGTAATACCTATACATACTCTGCTTAGCACTTTACATAAATTATTTTTACGATAATCCTATGAAATGCCTATTCTATTTCTAATTCACAGATAAAGTAACAGACTCAGAAAGGTCACATAACTGCTGAAGGGCATGTGACTAGTTAGTGGTAGAGTCAGGTTTGTATCTATCTAATTTCAGAGTCTCCATTCTTAAATGCCTCATTATTTTGTAAAAAGTATAGCAGAGTATAATTATTCAGTGAAACTTAATTCACTTTGAATTAGTGATTTTTGATCTAATACCTTATGAAAAAACACCTGGGTTAAATTTATTCTCCCTAGGAGGGAGAATAAATGGAAGATACTATTTTTAGTCATAAGATGTATTTGATAAAAAATTTCAGTGTGTTATATAGAGAGAGCTTTGGGATAAAATCATATTAAAAAGTGCCTACAATAAAAAGAAAGTTTTATTTTATTTTTTCAGTCTAGAGCTTGTAATGATGCCACATAGCTTTATTGAATACCTTGAGCATAAAACAACTTAATAATTATCGGCTAAGAATCTATCAAAGGCCCTTGTGGGTCATTTTTTAGCATTAAAGTTTTTTTTTTAATTTTTAAAAAATTTTAATTGTTGTTCAAATATAATTTTCTGTCTTTTACTCCCAGCCCAGCCCACCTACCCATACTTCCCCCCTCCTTCTCATTTCCACCCCCCAGTTTTTGTCCATGTGTCTTTTATACTTGTTCCTGTAAACCCATCTCCTTTCCTCCTGAAGTTCCCTCCCCTCTCCTCTCTGGACACTTGTCAGCCTATTCTCTATTTCAGTGTCTTTGGTTATATTTTGCTTGTTTATTTGTTTTTTTGTTTAGGTTCCACTTAAAGGTGAGATCCTATGGTATTTGTCTTTCACCACCTGGTTTATTTTGCTTAGCGTAATGCTTTCCAGTTCCATCCATGCTGTTGCAAAGGGTAGGAGCTCCTTCTTTCTTTCTGCTGCATAGAATTGCATTGTGTAAATGGTCCATAGTTTTTGGATCCATTCGTTTACTGATGGGCACCTAGGTTGCTTCTAGCACTTGGCTATTGTAAATTGTGCTGCTGTGAACATTGGGGTGCACAGGTTCTTTTGCATTGGTGATTCAGGGTTCTTAGGGTATAATCCTAGCAGTGGAATTGCTGGGTCAAAGCAGATCCATTTTTAGTTTTCTGAGAAAATTCTATACTGTTTTGAGAAAGAAGAGCAAAGTAGGAGGGGTCACAATACCTGATACCAAACAGTATTACAAAGCCACTGGAATCAAAACAGCCTGGTACTGGCATAAAAACAGATACATGGACCATGGAACAGAGAGCACAGAAATAAACCCAAGTCTCTATGGTTAATTAATATTTGACAAAGGGGGCAGCAACGTAAAGTGAAGTAAAAATAGCCTCTTCAACAAATGGTGTTGGGAGAACTGGACAGCATTAAAGTTAATATAATAAAAGGATAACTAATGTTTAATGGTCATTTACTTTGTTTGAGGCACTTCCATGAATGATCTCATTTAATCTTTTCAGCAATCTATGGAGGAGGTATTATTATTATATTTGTTTTACAGCCCATTACATTAAGACTTAAAGAGGTTATACAATTGCCTAAGGGTTCACAGTAGTGACAAAAGTAGATTATGATGAGCCTTACTCCAAATTATTTTATTTTATAGTTCATACTTATAAAGTAGACACTGCAGTATTTAAACCAAAAGCTACTGGAATTATGAAATGTTTTATAGTAAGTTTTCTTTATGGATGTGTATTATTTTTTTCTTTAGGTTCACAATATTCTTGCAGAAATGGTGATGGGGGGGATGGTATTGGAGACCAACATGAATGAGATTGTTACACAAATTGATGCACAAAATAAACTGGAGAAATCTGAGGTAAGAATGGAATGTGCTTTGGCTAATGAAGGTAGTAAGCATGATAATCATGTATGATTTGTAGCTTTCACTGTTTGTCCTTCAGTATCACCCTTTAGGTACAGCTGGTATGCTTACTCCATTTTAAAAAGGGAATATACAAATTTTAGTATGCCAAATGTTCTGTGACTACTATCCACCAAACAGTTTTGTGCATTTAACTTTTAGCCACAGTCAACTGCCTTGGGTAATTAACACAATACCAAATTCTTATTGCTTAAAAAAGAAATTATTTATTTGAAAATGGAATAAATATTTGTATTATAAAACATTAGGCAGTAATCATCAAGGAAATCTTAGAACTTACATTTTAAAAGGTATATAAATTTAGCATTATGAAACTGTTTCTGGAAGAGGAAAGAGAAGGCAATGGAATTCTCATGAGGAGGTAATAAATTATAATAGGGGCTTAGCAAGCCTGAATACATATTGAAAAAGGAAATTCAATGCCTTAATCTTCCCGTACATTCACTGATAGATGTATTCATGTCTTTTATTGCATTCTGTAAGAGATAGATTTGGCTAGTTATACACTGCTAACTTTATGCTGTTAGAATGAGGACCAACTAGCACTTTAGTATTGTATAAAACCATACTTTAGAATTTTAATAACTCTTTCCTCATGCACTACGCTGAATATTACTAACAGGTACTGTAGCAAAGACACTCAGGTTAACATCATTTTGGTTGTTTTATTTTTACTATAATAGGTTTAGAGAGATAATAGTTTTGTATCTCATTCAGTGCTATGCTTATTTGAGGATACTCTTAGTATTATAGTCATAGATTAGGAAAATATATTTATAATTATTAGTATAAATTCATGTGTTTGGTTGATATAAAGTTAATATTACTGTAAAAGCAGCAAGATATTAAAATATGCTAGCATTAATTTACAGCAGGTGAGTTCTGAAGAATTATTATCCGTTGACCCCTACAAGGGTGTCCAACCCATGGCCCAGGATGGCTATGAATGCAACCCAACACAAAACTAAATTTACTTAAAACCTTTTTTTTCTTTTTTGCTCATCAGTTTTCATTAGTTTTTGTGTATTTAATGTGAGGCCCAAGACTCCTCTTTTTCCAGTGTGGCCCAGAGACAGCAAAAGGTTGGACAGCCCTGCAAGGATCAGGTTAATACACTACTATACTCACTGGAATTGAATAAAACACAGGATGAATGATGGATAAATCTGAAATCTGAGGGTTAGAAATAGTCGAACTTTGTATAAAAACATTTTCCAATGTTTTATTTAAAATTAATCTACTCCTGCATTTCTTATCTCAATTTACCATCCCTATTGGTTTTCAAAAAAAGAGACTTATAATAGTGAAGAGCTAACATTATGACTCTTTTAAGTAACTATATATTTTGTGTGTTCTATAGCCAATTTTTAAAATACTGGTTTTTGAAAGGGGAAAACATAAACTACATTAGACTAGGAAAAGGAAAACAACTGATATATTATTTAATGTGGTTAGTTTGCAATATATTAATAAAGTATAGTAAAAGATTTGCTATAAACTGTAAGTCTTAAAATGATAATTTGAAATTTATATATTCTGTTACACCTTGTGTTACAAAACTGCGGATATAGGTTTTAAATGCCAAGATACAGACAGTGATACAATCCATTTAATCACTCTAAAATGAATGGATGTGGTAATTTTTAAATTCTGTGGAATCAGCTGTAAAAATATATTGACTTCTTGTCTGGAATTTTTACATTTCCAAGTATTTAACTTCTTTCTATTGGTGGTGTCCTTTTTTTTCTCCCTAGTGTAATATATGTAATATTGACAAGTCATAAAGGACCTATAATAACCATATAATGGATATTTCCTTTTTGATTATCCAGTAAAATTTTGTTAGTGAGCAGTTTGTTACTCTATAAAGAGCAGTAAAATACAGAATTTACATTTTTGATGAGATGGTTATAAGAAAACTATAACTTAAAAATTCTTTTACAGAGGTAGTGCTATTTAAAATGGTTTTGAATGTTAGTGAGTACTCTCATATGTAACATACACTGATCATCTTTTAACATACAGGCATTTCTTATCTGCTACCAGATTAGTTTCTCTTTTTCTCCTTTACAAGAAAGTATGTTTTAAATCTGACTGGGGACACACCACAATATATGTTTATCAAGTGTTTATATGTGATGTCTGATAATATTTAGTTAAAAAATAGGATTTTGACTCAAAGTGTAGTCCTGATCATATTTTAAGAAGTTGTATTGTAGAATAATGTTTAATTTTTTAAATTTGTTAATAAGTTTCATATATTTTAAACATGTTTGGAGGCTACTACCAGTTATATTCCAGACACTGAAATGTCAAAATTTTTCACATTGGTTCCATTTCCATGTTACTTAAATTGGTTATATCTACCAAACCTATGACTATAGAATAATCCAAGATTACTTGAAAGCAAACTGTAAACTTTTATTAATCTGCCTCTTGTTGAATTTTAGTTAAAATTTATTATGTAAGCAAAAACTTAGCAAGAAAGACTTAATTACAATCCAGAGTATCATGTTTAATGACAAGACCTGGTTATCATAGTTTTAAAATTAACTAAGTAATATTTAGAATAGCATTATCTTTTAAAAATCATCCTGAGCTTAATTAAGATTCAGCTTTTAAGGCGTAATATGAATCTATCTAGGTGCCTTTATTTTGTCAGATACTGAAGATTTTATTATTTTTGGTTAATGATAGTATATTTTCAGTGACAGTCAAAAGTGAACCAGTTAGACAGGACCAAAAATTACCCAGATCTTTAAACAGAGAAGAAGCAAAGATATGCTGTAAATGTGTTTTCATAGATCCTGCTTTGATAGAAAAATGGTTTGCTCTAACACTGGGATCTTGGGAAAGGAGATTTTAAGTTGAGAAGTGGTGGGATTTGGGAAAGTCTGAGAGGCACCCAGGAATCCGCCTAGGACTCCCTGGGGATGGAGGTAGATGGGTGGGGTGGGGAGACGTGTTAGTTTTTATGTATTTCATGTTATTTATAAGATGAATAAATGGCTCTGAATTTAGTCACTACTTTTTTAAGTCAGTCCTCTTTTTTTCGGAACATCCTGATCTTTCTAGCTCTTTCCATTCTTCTCTCTTGCAGACCTTTATCTTTCAATCTCCCAGACAGGACAGGTAGACAAGGTATTGCTGACTTTGGGAAAAATGTACTTTAACAAAAGGGAAAGCAAAATGATGTCAAAGGCAATCAATTATTTAGGCCAGACTCAAAAATTCTTTGTGTTAATGAACCCATATAGTCCCTTGTAGCCTATTTTTCATTCAGTTTCTCTTTGTAATTTTTCATCTTTTATTGGACTTAGTGTACTTTACTAGTATATCATTGATGTCATGTTTGTTATGTTTTGTCTGCCTGCATTGTGAAAGGAAAGTTTAAATTTTTTGTTCTTTTTTTTTTAAACATTGTCATTTTATCCTGACAAATTACATTTTGTAAAAATGACAATTTACTTTGTATATTAAATTTAGAGTTTATTTTGAGCTTCATATGGCAGAACCAATCTTTAACTCTCACAGATTTTCCCCTCATTTTTCTAAATTAGGATTCTAACATAAAATTGCCTGCTAGGTTTTAGAGGCTATAAATTTAAAAATCAAAAGCTAAACCTTCAGAGTTTTCCATACAAAGTAGGAATCAATGAAAGCTTAGCACAGTGACTGTTAAATAGTACTCCCTCTACCCCCTAATGGTTTTCATTTTTAGAGTCCTAACAGCATTGCTTCTACTAATTTAACTAACAGGTATTTATTAAAAATGGCCAATAAAAAAGAAAGATCAGATATTTTAAATTTGAATTAAATGCTGTAAAAGATGGAATTAATTATATTTATCAAAATAAAATAGATTTCCACTGTAGCAACATTCTGACATCCAAACATATTATAGTAAGACTCAGCAAAGTATTATAAACCTTGAATGTTTTTGCAAAACATGGGTAAATATTAGACGTGTTTTCAATAGACTTCTAGCTTTAAAAAACTAAATTTTCTCTGGTATTTTCTGTACAGGTTTTCACACTCTTAACTGTGTGAATTTCTTTGTATGCATTTCCATGTAGACAATGAACAACTTTTTTGTACAAAGCCATTTCAGGAAAAATGAAAATGTTTATAGGACCCTATTTAAAAATTCAAAATAAAAATACTTGAGTGAGTCTTATGGAGGGAAAAAAAACCCTATAAATTTAACAAGTTAGATTACCTACCTTACTGATTAGGAAGATGTCACTGAGAATTTGGTATAGTTTTTAGCCATCGAATTACTGCTTTCTGGATGTGTTTGAGAAGCAGCAAATAGGTAGCTTCATAATTTCTTGCCCCAAGATCATGGAGCTGAGAGTACCGTGTTTGGTCCCTGTACCCATATTACTTTATCCCTGCCATAGGAAGAAAATAATGGTGTCATTCAATCTCTTGAGCCAAATCACTGCCAGTTTCCATGTTCTACTCTTTAATTTATGTTAAATTGCTATTTTTTAAAGAGTATAGAATAAGAAAAGCGGGCCTAAGTAACAGATGTTGGAGAGTGAGTGTGTGAGCTGGTTCTGCCTCTCTGTGCTGGTGAAGACCCCTGAAGTCACTTGTAATGGTCAAAACTAGTTACAGTTAAATCCATGAATGGCTTTTGTCTGCTATATTTATTTCACACAGACAAATTCTGTGTTAGAAATGAAAACTATAAATGAATATTACATAAACTGAGTAGTAATTTGGAAGGTTTTAAGATTTTCAAATATTCTTATAGTGACAAATTTTTATAAGATGCCATGTTTTTCCTCACTAGAGTATTGTCATGAGTATTTCTAATCTCTTTGTTTAGAATTGCAATATTAAAGCACTGTCTTTGAAGCAAAGAACAAGCCTATTATTAGTTTCTAGATTAAATGTTATTCTGTCTTACATTCAGAAATTTAAATAGTGACATTTTCTATTTCATTCAAAACATTAAAAAAATCTGCCATTATTTTGTTGATGATTTGAGTCTGAAACCATTTAATACTGTGTTTATTAATGTTGATGTTCTTTCACTTTGCTGTTAGGTCAAAATTTTGAATGTGCATATACCAACTTCCAGCAGGAAGGGTGGGTAAAGGCTTTAGTATGTACAGATTATTCCAGCTACCATCTTCTTATGCTATATTTCAAGCTTGACAAAATATGTTAAGATGGTAGGTTGGTATTTAATGTCTTAGATGAAATAAACTTTAGATTCCTTTTCCCTTTGAGAAAGTTAATTGCAGTTGCATGAGGAAAAGGGAGCTTTCAGACTTTTTGAAATATATTTTAGTAACGCTGCTTTTTCGGTTTTGCTTGCACATATTTTGTTTATTTTTGGGTCTGGCAATTTAAAAACAAAATAAAAAAAATCATATCCATCCATTACTATCTTTGTGATTTTAGTGCTTGAAATTTCCAAGAGTATGTCTGTATAAGTCTTCTATCTGTTTGGCCTCATTTTGGTATACTTGCAGACTTCATTTTGTTTTCTTTCTCTTAATTCTGTTAATTTATTTAATATCATGGGAGAGAAAACATGACCATTCTTTATATATACTGTACTTCATTCTTTCATCAAACTCATACTCTTAATGGCTTTGGATTCATGTATCTGCTTTTGTTAGTGGAGTTGTTGCAGTTTACCTGCCATGGTGGCGCTCGAGTAAAATAACATAGATGGAAACAAGTTATTTCTCCAGTAGGGTTTCATTCTTTTTATTTCTGCTTGTGTCAACTATGTACTCTTAAATCTTTAAGAACTATGTTGTACTGTCAGAAATACCTTACTTTTACATTTTAAAATGTATAAACTACTAACAAGTCAGGTAAACTTAATTTTTATAAATTCAAGTGTTAGTGAAAGTTATCTTGTAGCTTTGAATATATCTTACTGGAAACAAAACTAAGATAAAAATTATACCTTTGTGTTGGCAACTTGATTTCCTAGTGGCAAGTTACCTCTTCTACGTTTTATTCTTTAATAAAAATGTTTTAGACTTCACTTTCATGGAAGTCTAGAGATGAAATTGATTTTATAGCAGTTTGTGTGTTGACTACCTGGTATGTGAAGTTTTTTTTAATCTCTAAGTTTTTATATATAAATATGGATAGTTCATTTAAACACTTATCAACAGTCCTTGTATTTTTTCTTCCATTTTATATTCAGTAGAATCTGATTTCTTAAAATGTTGGTTTTGTTAAAATTTAATTGACATACACATTACAATGTTAAGATTGTATACCACTTAAACTCATGACATTCTACACAAAAGTATTGAACATGCTTGAGAAATAATTTGATTCTTTTAATTCATTTGTGTGTTCTGAATAGTTACCATCCTTTGCATGTCTATAGCTTGCTGCTTATGTTTAGAAAAATTGTAATGTGTTGTACTTAAAAACTTATTTTGTTTTTTTTCATAATAAGAATTTAGCACATAGATGCTATTGACTTTATATGTTCTCATTAGTAGCCAACAGTTGACACCATCTTTGGTCACAAAGAAATGAGTTAATCTAATGAAATTTAAACAGAATGCATTTTATTCTCATTTTCTTTCTTAAGTTTAGTTTAGCCATTCAAGGTATAGGGTATTATGGAAAAGAAGGCTTCTTGACAATTACATTTAGTTTAATATTGAAAATACTAATATTTTAGTATTTAAAAACTATTATTTTAAATATTTATAAATATAAATCATAGCATCCAATAAAACACACACGTATCTACCCTTTCTCTTTCACAAAATCCTCTAATAATTTATGCCTTTTAAAATATTTATATACTCATCAATACTTTTTCTATAACCTACTCATCATTTGTACCCTGTCTAGAAATTTCAAAGTAAAAATAGTGGCAAATTGGTTTGCTATTTCAAAAAATTACAAAATTATTTTTCTTAGAAAAAAGTGATAGTGGTTCCAGGATGTCTGTCATTTTATAAAATAATTCTCCCCCTTGGTAAACAATATATTTCCTGGTAAAAGGAAGAGAATCTACAAGATGATAAAGCTATTTGAACTGAATACTTCTTTGATCCTTAACCATTCTAAATTTTCATAGCTAGACATTGAACTTGAAATGATCAACTTAAAGACCTCTTCCATATAATTTATGCTATCCTAAGTAATATTCATGTGTATCTTCATCTTTTGGGGCAGTGAGAGGGAAGTGGGGTATAACTAAAACTGCATTACTTCAGGTAGGTATAAATGCAGAGGTCAGTCAAATTTTTAGTTATACATCAAAAACAACTAATCCCTATCCAATATAAAAATTGAAGTCCCAGCCCTATTAAGTCTTTAATTGGGTATGGAGTGTTTCATCCATATCACTCTTATCATTATCTGTGTGGACCATATCTATTATTAATACTATTTTACAGATTCTTCTATTATTTCCAATTCTGACTTGATAATCCATGGCTTTTATTCATTGCTTAACAATGTTTGTATCCTTTATTCAGCAAATAGTTTACACTGGCCTATTTTGTATCAGTCAAGATTTTTCTCAGGTAACAGCTTTATTATTATTTTTTAAATTAACAAGAAAGGTAGGATTACATGAAAGAAAAAAACATTACAAAAAGGGACTTTAAAACTAGTGTCTCTAATTACATAAACATTGTTTCTTATACAGGGTGGAGTGAATAGTAGGTTTATAGTTGTGAGTAAGCAAAATAGTTCATTTTTCTGTTATTATTTTTTAATTATTGTATTTTTCATACAAACAACTGTAAACCTACATTTGCCTACCCCTGCATATATGTAATCTAATCAAAGTGGAAGATTTGTTTTTGTTACTTAAGTGTCTGCTTTTGTGCAAGATGATGTATGTCATGAATTGAATGTGTTTGTTGGCTTTATTATATAGCGTGAATAAAACTGCTGACATCTAATTGATATATAAATTAAACCTTAAAAATATGAAGACTGTTGATGTAGATATTTGAGAAAAAGTGATATATATTCATTCTTCTTTTATTTTTAAGCTTATTTTCTTTCAAAATTACTTTATAAAATTATGAATTTTCCTACTAAAATAAAAGCCAAGTGTTGTACACTAATGGTACTAGAAACTTTAAGATTTATTTATAAATATAAATAAAATAAAATTTACTATTTTTATTTACTATCTTTGCATTTATGCTACTTTTTAAAATATGTATTTTATAAAATATATGCTGTTGGACCTACTTGATATGATAGATTTTTAAAAGTTATTCTGTGTTTACTAATGCATTGTGGAGTAGAATGATCCTCTTGCTGCAGTTTTATGCAGAACTGTTCTATTTGAATTGAGACTTTACTTTAAAAGCCTGATTTTTTTCAGTGTTCTAGAATGTCCTTTAAAGTTTAGAATAGCCTTTATAATTAAAAAATAATAATTTAAAAATATTATTGTCTTGAAATGTTTTAAGGTATTAGCCCTAAGTAAAGAAGCTAAACAAGCATGATCTATTACTTTTAGTTTTTATTTCACAGCATATATTGATAATAAATGGCATTTTAAAGCCAAAAAATCCACAAAACATATCATGATTATTGTAAGAGATGTTTAATAAGGAAGCTAATATGTAAAATATGTGTAAAATAAGGTTCATAACCTTATATGTCAGTTATATCAAGATATAGGTGAAAATCTAGCTTTTGTCATTTGAATATTGTGTATACTATTTAATTAGTACAGTTTAATTTGTATTTAAATCTTTTCATTGTTACCATTGCATGTATTTACTGTATTTCTTGTCAACTGTTTTTTCTTTATAGATTAGTATTTCAGAGTAACCATCTCATATCAGTTCAGACTTACCATGTGGTCTCTTAAGCTTGTTATATGAAAATCTTTTATTATTGTCCTCCATTTTTAGTGTTGTTTTTTTTTTTTATGAACTACACCTGAGTTGTACATTTTCTTTTTTTTATTTGCTTCTGTATACAGGCTGGCTTAGCGGGAGCTCCAGCCCGTGCTGTATCAGCTGTAAAGAATATGAATCTTCCTGAGATCCCAAGAAATATTAACATTGGTGACATCAGTATAAAAGTGCCAAACCTGCCCTCTTTTAAATAAAAAAAATTTAAAAGGCCACTCCCAGGTAAAATCCAGGGGGAAAGTCATCTAAGTTTACCATGCAGTTGTTTACCAAAAATAGAGGAGAGTCTTAACTTTTGCTCTTGGATTTAAGTCAAGGTACTGTATAGAAGTTGTATAAAATCAGTATGGTTCAATGTTGTTTTTCTTGCTCAGTGATTTTTGAAGAAATTGAGTAGTTCCAATATGATTTTTTTCTTTCTTTTCTAAACTGCATTTTTATGCCCACATAAGGCATGCCTCTATGTATTGGCTACAACAGTATTTCAAAAGTGTTCAGAATATTTCCTTAAATTATGTACAACCCCAAATGTTGGTGTTTTGTATAAATCACAAGTGCAACATTCCTTAATTCTTTCTGTTATTTGTCACAATTGTTATTTAAAGAACCAAGTATGTATTGCATGAAAACATTATGACCTTTCATATTAGTTTAAATAAACTCCAAGGTAACTGGACTTCTAAAGCACCTTTCTGTTTGCCTGATATCTACTTTAGCAATAATTTTTTTACAACCCTTTGACCCAACTAAGTAAATAAAAGTATATTTTATCACTGTTTAGCAGCTGTTAATGATGATTTACTTAATTTATACTTATGTTTTTAATATTCAGAAACTCACTGAATTATCTAAAGATCAGTTATTTCACAATAAAAATAATGTATCTTATAACACATCATATAGGATGAGTTCTGGAGTGGAGATGACAAATCTTTTTCTAAAAATTTCCTTGCAGATTCCTTGCAGAATTTATTTTATGTACATAGGTTTAAACCTTGAATCTGTTTCTTTCTTGCTCAGATATTGAAAAATAATTTCAGTAAATACCTGGCTGCTTTTGAACACAAAATTCTTTTGGTTCAAAGAACTGAACCCAAAGACTGTTCCATCCCAAACTCAAAGCTATACTATTTTCTTAAGTCCTAACACTTATATTCTTATTTCTCATAATCAGCCACATTTTCTTATTTGGTCTTACTTTGGGAACCACGAGTAGGATTCCTCTTCCAGTTAGACTGAGGTTTTCCTTACAGTTGTAGTCTTCCCCCCTCAGATGTTCTCTTTGAAACCAAGATTTGGCTGTGTGAAGGAAGGGCTCTCCACCAGCTGGATGCACAAGTGAAAAATGGCTATACAACTCAGTCTGTCCCAGATTCTGCATCAACCTCTTGGAGAGCCCAAGTTTGGCAGAGATGATGCAAGGAATCTGGAGGGGAGGATGGGGATAGTGCATCTTTCAAGAGGGGTAGGCACCAGCCAGGCTCCCACGAAGGTGCAGGGAATGGCCTTGACCCCAGAGCCACACGACTCAGTCATTGACACCCACTACATCTACTGAGACCTCTACACTCTGGGCCCAGGAAGCTGACTCCCCTGCAGGGCTCAACTCTGCAGGATGGGGTGACAGGGAGTCCAGAGGGTGTGGCTATTGCATTCCCCCAGGCTGCTTCCATATGGAGGGGAACACTCCACCGAAGAAGGATAGTGTCTGCAGTGTGGGATAGGGACTCAGCACTGGGAACCTAGAAGCTGTCCTTTAGCCCTCTTCCCAGAACCACAAACCCTATTCTTTTATCACAGGACTATCTGTTCTGCCCTCTCTTTGTCAGAGCCCAGGGTGAGTGGCTACAAACAAGATTTTGTATGTTGGCCCTTTAAGAGGGCACCTCGGTCCTTAGCAGACTCTTGTCTATCCCTGGTAGAGAGAATCCCTACTGATTTTCATAGGCAGATACTCTGTGGGCACTTCTTTTCAGCTTTGGTGCTCGGGTCTGGGGAGTCCAGTGTGGGTTTGAAACTCCTTACTCCTCAGGGAGCGCCTATGCAGCTGAGGTATTCCTCTAGAATCTCAGGAACAGGAGCAGGGCTAGCCCTTCTCATACCGCTATCCTTTCTTCCAGTTTCCGTGTGGCCTCCTCTGTAAATCCTGGATTATAAGACTTCTGTTCAGCTGGTCTTTGATTGGTTATTCAGGTTGATGATTCTGTATTCTAGTTGTAATTCCAGTTTGGTCCCGGGAGGAGGTGAGTGTTACTTCCACATACTCTGCCACCATCTTGGATCCCAACTATGTAGGAATATATTTATACTTATTTTTAAAAATATATTTTATTGATTATGCTATTACAGTTGTCCCATTTACCCCCCCTTTACTCCCCTCTGCACACCCCCTCCCACCCACATTCCCCCCCCCCCATTTAGTTCATATCCATGGGTCATACATATAAGTTCTTTGGCTTCTACATTTCCTATACAATTCTTACCCTCCCCTTTCTATTTTCTACCTACCATTTATGCTACTTATTCTCTGTACCTTTTCCCCACTCTCTCTCTCCAATTCCCCTGTTGATAACACGCCATGTGATCTCTATTTCTGTGTTTCTGTTCCTGTTCTAGTTGTTTGATTAGTTGGCTTTTGATTTTGTTGTTAATGATTGTGACTTTGCTGTCATTTTACTGTTCATATTTTTATCTTCCTTTTCTTAGACAAATCCCTTTAACACTTGATATAATAAGGGCTTGGTGATGATGAACTCCTTTAACTTGACCTTATCTAGGAAGCACTTTATCTGTCCTTCCATTCTAAATGAAAGCTTTGCTGGATAGAGCAATCTTGGATGGAGGTCTTTGCCTTTCATGACTTGGAATACTTCTTTCCAGCCCCTTCTTGCCTGTAGTTTCTTTTGAGAAATCAGCTGACAGTCTGATGGGAACTCCTTTGTAGGTGATTGTCCCCTTTACTCTTACTGCTTTTAAGATTCTCTCCTTATCTTTAACCTTGTTTAATGTAATTATGATGTGCCTTGGTGTGTTCCTTCTTGGGTCCAACTTCTTTGGGACTCTCTGAGCTTCCTGGATTTCCTGGAAGTCTATTTCCTTTACCAGATTGGGGAAATTCTCCTTTATTATTTGTTCAAATAAGTGTTTCACTGGTGGCTGTTCCTGTTCCCCTTCTGGTACCCCTATAATTCGGATGTTGGAACGTTTAAAGATGTCCTGGAGGTTCCTAAGCCTCTCCTCATTTTTCTGAATTCTTGTTTCTTCATTCTTTTCTGGTTGGATGTTTCTTTCTTCCTTCTGGTCCACACCATTGATTTGAGTCCCAGTTTTCTTTCCATCACTGTTGGTTCCATGTACATTTTCCTTTATTTTACTTAGCATAGCCTTTATTTTTTCTTCTAATTTGCGATCAAAATCAACCAATTCTGTGAGCGTCCTGATTACCAGTGTTTTGAACTGTGCATCTGATAGGTTGGCTATCTCTTCCATCACTTAGTTCTATTTTTTCTGGAACTTTGATCTGTTCTTTCATTTGGGCCATTTTTTTTTGTCTTGATGCTCCTGTTATGTACTGAAGGGCAGAACCTTATGTATTCACCAGGGCGGGGCAACCCATGTTGTTGGGTTGTGATACTATATGTGGGGAAGGGGTCCAAAAGGGAGTGTCAAGTCTTGAAATATTCAAGGTGATGGAAAGCCAGGACCTACTTCCAAGGCTACTTTACCCAGCAAGGCTATCATTTAACATTAAAGGAGAGATAAGGAGCTTCCCAGATAAGAAAAAGCTAAAGGACTTTGCTAACACTAAACCAGTACGTCAACAAATGTTAAAGGTCTTACTTTAAGAAGAAAAAGAGACAGAAAAAAAAAAGAGCAGAAGAAAACAGTCTAACAATAAAATGGATACATACTACATATGTATCTATTAGTAATCACCTTAAATGTAAATGGCTTAAATGCCACTACCAAAAGACATAGGATAGCTGAATGGATAAGAAAATAAGACCCATATACATGCTGCCTGCAAGAGACCTGTCTCAGAATGAAAGATACAGACTAAAAGTAAAGGTGTGGGAAAAGATATTTTATGCAAATGGAAAGAAAAAATTGGTGTAGCAGTACTTATATCTGACAAAATAGACTATTTTTTAAATTATATATTATTGATTATGCTATTACAGTTGTCCTAATTTTTCTCTCTTGGCCCCCCATCAACCCAGCGACTCCCACTGCCTCAGGAAATCCCCACACCATTGTTCATATCCATGGGTCATACATATAAGTTCTTTGGCTGCTCCATTTCCTGTACTGTACTTTACATCCTGGTGGCTATTGTGTAACTACCAAATTGTACTTCTTAATCCCCTCACCCCTTCACTAATTCCCTCAAACCTCCTTCCTATCTGGCAACCATCAGAACACTCCCCGTATCCGTGATTCTGTCTCCATTCTTGTTTACCTAGTTTGTTCTTTAGATTCAGTTGTCCATAAGTATGTATTTTTGCCATTTTATTGTTCATGGTTTTGATCTTCTTTTTCTTAAGTCTTTTTAACATTTCATGTAATAATGGTTTGGTGATGATGAACTCTTAGTTTTTTGTTTTCTGGGAAGCTCTTTATTTGCTCTTTCAATTCTAAATGATAGCTTTGCTGGGGAGAGCAATATTGGCTGTAGGTCTCTGCTTTTCATGACTTTGAATATGTTTTGACAATCTCTTTTAGCCTGCAAAGTTTCTTTTGAGAAATCAGCTGACAGTCTTATGGGAACTTCTTTGTAGGTAAATAACTTTTCTCTGGCTGCTTTTAAGATTTTCTCTTTATATTTATCTTTTACCTTTGACATTTTAATTATGATGTGTCTTGATATGGTCCTTTTTGCATCTATCTTGTTTGGGACTAACTGCTTTCTGGACTTGCATGTCTATTTCCTTCACCAATAGGGAAGTTTTTTGCTTTATTTTTTTGAACAGATTTCCAGTTTCATGTTCTTTCTGTTTTCCTTCTGGCAGCCCATGGATGCAAATGTGGGGTCTCTTGAAGTTGTCCCCAGAGGCTGCTTATACTGTCCCATTTGGGGAGATTCTTTTGTTGTTGTTTGTTAAATTTATTTTTTTATTGATTATGCTGTTACAGTTGTTCTATTCCCCCCTTTATTCCTCTCCACCCTACCCCCCCATCCCCACCATTACCCCCCCTTTAGTTTATGTCCATGTGTCTCAAGTTCTTTAGATTTTATATTTCCCATACTATTCTTGCCCCCCCATCTATTTTCTATCTACTGTCTATGCTACTTATTTTCTGACCTTCGCCCCCCTTCTCCTCCTCCCACTCCCCTGTTGCTAACCCTCCTTGAGATCTTCATTTCTATGTTTCCACTCCTGATCTAGCTGTCCTTTTAGTTTGCTTTTGTTTTAGGTGTAGTTGTTAATAACTGTGAGTTTGTTGTCCTTTTCACTGTTCATGTTTTTTTAACTTCTTTTTCTTAGATAAGTCCCTTTAACATTTCATATAATAAGGGCTTGGTGATGATGAATTCCTTGAATTTGATCTTATCTGAGAAGCACTTTATCTGTCCTTCCATTCTAAATGAAAGTTTTGCTGGATAGAGCAATCTTGGTTGTAGGTCTTTGGATTTCATGAGTTGGAATACCTCTTTCTCATGGGGGGATTTTTTTTCTTGTTGTTTTGATATGTTGTTTTTTGCTTCCTTATATTCCAATTCATTGATTTGATTCTCAGCTTCATTCACTCTACTATTGTTTCCCCATAGATTGTTCTTC